GCCTGCCCTAAAAGGCGGGCTCTGCCTGGCAGCCAGAACTGACCACGTGGCCCACAGTTGCTGCTGGGACGGCAGAGCCAGACAGAAGGAACCACGTCTCTAATACCTTCAAGGAGGCAGGGTGCCAGCCTGTGTTGAGCCGCCCACCTATGTGCGATTCTTACAGAAGCGAGTGAGAAATCACTTCATGTCAGCACCTACTTGAGGGTTTGTGTGCTAAGCAAGTTAGCCCATGCCTCACACTACAACTGTGAGTTAGGGCAAGTTATTTTGCCTCCCTGTGCCTCAGTTTCCTGGCCTGTGGAATAAAAATCTCAGACGTCAGCATGTGGATTAAACTCGATGCATGACGGTATCAGTCACCCTTGGCAGGTGTTCTTATCACTAGACACAACTCCAGAGCAACTCAGGCCAACCTATGAACAGTGTCCACGCTACGATGGAAAATTACGGAGAATGCTGACATTCTTTGCTGAATTTTCTCTACTACATTTGTGTTTAGTTTTGTACACGGAATAGAACACATACACCATCAAGTGTGTATGGTTTATCAGTGGGGTAGGGAAGACCTGTGACTTGAACTTGTTACACAAGGACTCACCCACGGCGTCTCATCCCCTCAATGCCACCCACAACATAGGAGGAGTCAGGTGTAGGTTTCCCAAGGAAACAACCATCCCGGGAGGATGAGTCACCCACAGGCAGATCACAGCTGCAGAGGTCACAGGGGCCAGAGCTGAGAGCTGGGACCTTCCCTCACATACAGTCTCTGTTCTTTTTTTTTTTTGGAGAGGTTTTTGCTATAGGGCGCGTGTGCTTGCCAGAAAGAGAGAGACAGAGAGATAGAAAGTGAGAAATCACCCCCCAGGGGGGATGGTCACGCCGCAATCCCTTCTCCTTCATTCTCCTCTTGGGATCTTGGGCACGCACGCACATGCATCCGGCGTGAGTTTAAGCCACCGGGTCCAGGATTGAACTGCAGTCGGCTACATGGGAGTCCAGCGACATAGCTATTACGCTAACTGCTGGTCCCAACATACAGTCTCAGTTTGAGAACAGCCTGAGACAGAGCAGGTGGTTCTCAGAGCTTCCTTTCATCCCAAATGTTGGCTCCGGCCCTATGAGAAAGTCTGCAGCAAGACCACCTGGGCCTCCAGGGCTCACTGAGGAGGGGCAGGGATGTTGTCAGAGAGAACAGCCAGTACCTCCTCAACCAACCAGTCTTCTCCCTCCCTTAACACACCCAAATTATTGTTTACTGGACACACAAGTGCTAGGATACAGCAGGGAAACAGACAGATAAGATCCTTTCCCGCAGGGGAGAGAGGCATCTAAAATATGAACTAGCCGGATAAGACTCTGCCGGACAGCCATTAACTGTTCAGAAGGAAAGAAAACAGAACCGACCAGAACGATGTGGCAGAGGTAACTAGGGAGAGAGGGCTTTGCTGAGGAGGTGACACACCAGCTGAGACCTGAACTATGACAAGGAGCCACCCCTGAGAGCATCGCGGAGACAAGAGATGCAGACTGGCACATGGCTGGAGCAAAGACCCTGCGGCAGTTATAAGGTTAGGAAGGAAGAGAAATCAGGTTGGCTGAATTTGGCAAATTTCGGAGGCAGTCACAGCCCTCAGGGCTAGAGACTATGGCTTCTTTTGTCTACCCCAATGTGCTTAAACAGGGACCTGGAAACAGCAGGTGCTCAATAAATCCTGCTGGTTACCTGGAGTCGCGGCTCCCCTGAGCGTCCAGCAGGGACTCACACAGTCAGAGGACTGACTATGGATGCAGGCAGGGTAGAGGCATGGGGCAACATTTCCTCGAATGCCCACGGGCACCCGGAAACTCTGCTTGGCATGAAGCACTCAGCGCCTGAGGGGCTCAAGGGAAGAACCCAGCCTGGCAGGAGGTTGAAAAGCTTGGAATCAAGCCCTGGCTCTATCCCTGCTTTGCTGGACAACTCATTGAGGCTCTTAGAGCCCCAGGTTCCCCAGGGAGTAGACACGGTTTCCAGTACCCCTCCTTCTTCTGAGACTTCTCCAGTCTCAGGCCCTGTTTTCTAGGTGGAATCCCCTCCATTCCAGGCTCTAAGGGTTGGCACATGGCTAATCTGCATAATCCCGCCCCAGCCATGGTGATGGGCTCAGCATCTGACCGAATCAGAGCCAATGAAACCTAGTTCTGAGATTTCTACTGGAACTGTAGGGGAAATAGGTGTCATTCCCATAAGGTTGCTGAGAAGACATAAATAGAGCCTGTGGCTGCAGGGGTAAGGTTCTGGGCAATGTGTCACTACAAGTAGAAGCCAACACAGAACACCCGGGCCAGAGATGGAGAAAAATTCCTGACAACCTAGTTTGGTCTTGGATCCAGCCATGCCTGTGGCAGGCATTGTTTTCCACTTACATGAAATAATGAATTCCCTTTATAGATTAAGCCAGTTTGAGTGGGCTTTTGCCATTTGCAAACAAAAATGCTGCCTAATAAATCCTAACTGTAAATGTGGATAACAGCATGTTACCCTCAGAGTTCTGATTTGGGGAATATAGAAATAACACACAGAGGGACGTATAGTTATGCTGCTGGACTCCCATGTAGTTGACCATGGTTTGAGTCCTGGACCCAACAGCTTAAAACTCACACCAGGCAAGTGTGTGTATGTGTCCAAAATCCCAAGAGAAGAATGAAGGAGAAGGGATTGATCCCCCGAGGGGATGATTTCTCACTCTCTCTCTGTCTCTCTAGTGAATACAGCACAAGCACCATATACCAAAAATCTCTCTTAAAAAAAGAAAGAAAAGGAAAGAAAAAGAAATAGCACGTGGAGTACGTGGCCCACTGTGCTCAATAAATTGTGGCTGTTATCATCTGCTGTTAAGAAAGTGAAAAAAGGACCCCATGACCAGCACCACCACCCTCCTCTTTCCCAGCTGCCCTGGCATGGGAAGATGGCAGGTAGGGTGCCACGCACCTGCTTGGGGGGCTTGTGCCGATTATACTCTTCCCCCCAGAGCTTGGCCTCCATCTGTAGACGCACATCCTCAAAGTACACGTCCCTGTCCACAGGCTCGATGTAGCGCTTTGCCACATAGTTGGAGGCTCCCTTCCATTGCTGGGTGTGCAGGAAGTTGGAGAGCTTCTTCCTGGGAGGAGAGGCAGCAAGGGGCTTGCCCAGGTACTCTGGGGCTCCTCAGGGACGATGCCTTAGCTGCTCAGGACTAGGAGCCCCTGCCTGACCTGGCTGGTTAACTGGAGGAAGAAACAAAATGTAGAAAGGACTTCTTTGCACCCCCCACTTCCTTCAAAAAGCTATGACAGGCCATTGTTGGAGGTCTCCTGTCCCATTTCCCTTGGGCTCCTCCAAACACCAGAGCAGGGAATAGTAGGATGTGCCCTGCTCTCCCCAAGCCCACATCGCAGCCACCTTCACGTGGTCCAAAGGAGAGCAGATGGAGAGAAACTTGAGCTACGAGAAGGCAGAGGCGACTGTATGCATTCTTGGCCAAAATGTCCAAAAGTTTTAACTTTTAGGAGCTGGGGAAATCTGGGCAGGGCCTCGAGCACCAGGCTGTCACTTACGTCCTGAAGCATTCCCTCATCGCTCCACGGCCGAAGGGCTGAAAGAGAGGGAGAGTAATCAGTGTCCATACCACCCAGAAACAATGATGGGCCAGAAGAGAGGTTCCCCTAGGACATCACCCACCAAATGGGTTCCCCAGACCCTGTAACTACTCCAAAGTCCCTGGGCCTGCTAGGCTTCCATCCTGGAGCTATGGGGACAATGAAGATCACCCCATTCCTCTACCAGAGCTGGAAGGAAGAACCCATGGGATGGGGCAAGATGCTGGGGGAGGGACAGCACATGTTAAAGATGTTTTTGCAGCCCGGCTGGTAACAGAAAGAAAGGGGAGGCCCAGCCATTATGGCACGGGGGTAGGGCATCATGGCACAGTACTAGAGCCATGTAGGAGGGCCCAGGGTTCAGATTCTAGGTCGAATGAACATGTAGGGCACACCCATAGGCACACCTAAGATCCTGGCAAGTTGGAGAGATGGGGAGGACTGTGGTATGAGAAGACCCTGTCAAGGGATCCCTATCTTCCTTTCTCTGAAGAAAAAAAACTTTAAAAAGTCAACTATTAAATAAGTGTATTCATCAAAGAAATACTACTATACAGCAATGAGAATGAATGCAAAATGTCAAGCACAAGATGCCGTGCTCAAAAGAACATGTGGTCAGAAGTTATGACCGCTCTTTCCTATTTTTCCAAACTTCCTTCCAGAGGGCCTAGGGGGAGTCACACCCACAAACATTAACAGACCATTTTTTTCCATTAATAGGATTCTTCCTACATCCTGCACCTGGCACAGTAACTTTGAGATGTATATTTCAACAGATTACAGTATATTCTTTTGCTTATCTCTTCCCAAGACACAGAACTTCCCTTTCCTTGAGATGGAGATTAAGCATTTCTCTTACAAATGTCTTCCCAAGACACAGATCTTCTCTGTCCAATCACCTACCTATAACCTACAAGCTCCGGCTTCTACATGTCCCCCACCTTTTTGAGCCAGACCAATAGATATGTCTACACTAATTTTGTCTGCCACTCTCAAAAATCGAATAAAAGGAACCCCTGTACCTAATCACCTGGAGAAAGGCATGTTTGCCTCCTCTCCGGGCCTAGGTCACTCATATTCTCCTTGGAAATAAACCTCATTAATTATGAATTTTTAATTTTTTCACAGTTGGTTCTTTTCCGTCGACAAACACACGCTATAAGGTTTCATTTATATGAAGTACAAAAATATGTCAAACTTATCTAGGGAGGGAGAGTCCAGAGTAGGGCTTGGGATAGGGGAGGAGGGACCTAGAGTGGCTTCTGGAGCTGCTGGTTACTGTTTTTCCATCTGGGTGTCGATGAAATAATGTGTTCCTGTGGTGAAAACTCGTATGTTATACTGAAAAAAGCTTCATACAGCAATCCTTACTCTTGCTATGCAGGAAGTACTCTGATTTACACTCATTTTCTTTTCAAAAGGTTGGTTGTGGGCCAGCAGGTGAAGTGGAGGTAAGGCAGCTGGATCCCACATAGTTAACTGCATGGTTCGAGTCCCAGACCAGGCTGCTTGAAAACAGCACTTGGCAGGTCAAGCAGGTGACATGGTGGTTAAGTCGCTGGACGCCTACATTGCCAACTGAACTTCAAGTCCTGGACCTGACCTTTCTCATTTTCCCCCTCTCCCTTGGTCAAATTAAAAATAAATAAATAAATAAATAAATAATATCAAATAAACCTTTTAAAAAATAAATGCTTTTTTATAAAAAGAAAATTACACTTGGCTCATGTGCTTGTGTGCCCAAAATCCCGAGAAGAGAATGGAGGAGTGTGGAGAGCCCAATCTGAGAAAACACGATGTGTAAAGACGTGCTTTTGTGAGCTTTGTTAGTAACGGCTATGTGAAAACTTCCATATGAAACGTCATTTGTTTGTTGCTGTCGTCGGTTATCTTTTTGTTGCTGTCAATATTTAATACTCAACACTGCAGGGCCCAATCTGAGAAACACGGTGTGCCTTTTAGATGCTTGCCAAAATGTGCTTCTGTGAGCTTCATTAGCAATAACTATGAGAGCACTTCCATCCAAAATGCTTTCTGCCTGTTGTCTGTTATCTTCCTGCTGTTGTCAACACCCGATACCCAATGCTGCAGGGCAGTATGAAGAACGCTACATGTGTTTATCAAATTTTGTCCCATAAAGATCAGAGAAATTACATGGCACCAGTCATTTTCACATCTTCAAACAATTTACATCCTAAAGCAAAAGGCTTTGCATTCTGTCTTCTCTTCCGCATTTTCTGCCCTTTGAAAGAATAAACCTGAGGCCGGTTCCTAGTCACAACTTCTCCATCAGAGAAGCTGCGCCCACCAATCCTCGCTTTTTTATACTTGTGTGTCTTTGCTTTTGTGTTTATTTCTAACCCACAGCCTTCCCCACTCAAAAAAAGAAATGTGTTCAGCCAAACAGGTCCTGGCAGAAGGGATTGCAGCATGGCCACCCCCCTGGTGATTTCTCACTCTTTCTTTCTCTCTTGAGTGAGCACATGCACTCCATAGCAAAAAAAAAAAAAAGCAGGTATATAGACAAAAGGCTGGTCGTAACCCACTGAATTCATTTAACAATTCATTAACGGGTGGTGACATGCAATTTTTGAAAACGAATATACACATGGACAGCCCATTGATTTTCAACAAGACTGTTAAGAATGGTCTCACTTTTTGTTTGTTTTTAAATCATCTTTGGTAAAGGAGTTCCCCTTTCTTCATGCCCTCCCCAGGATTTGTTACTTTTTGTCTAGGTCAGGATTTAAAAAAAAAAAAAAGTATTATTATTAATTTAATTAATCAATTAATTAATTTATTATTATTATTTTTTTAACTTGGTATAGTCATCAGAGAGAGACAGAGAAAGAGAGAAGAAAGTGAGAAATCAAGCCACCAGGTCTGGGACTCGAACCGTAGTCGGCCATGGGGGAGTCTAGCACCTTAACCACCATGCCACCTGCAGGCGCCTAGGATGGTGTTTTGATGTATGATATCTTAGTATGTGAATGAAGTGCCCCAAATAAGCAAATCTATAGAGACAACTGTAGGATAGTGATTGCTGGGGTGCTGGAGGGAAGTGAGGGAATGGGGAATGAGTGCTAATGGGCACGGCCTCATTCGAGGAGAGTGAAAATATTCTGGATTTGATTGTGACAATGACTGCATGACGGTGATTATACTGAAGATTGCTGAGCAGTACACTTTCAATGGTCAAGTGTATGATAGGTGAATGATCTCTCAATAAAGGGGTCTTAAAACAATGCAATAAGTAGGCCCAGCTGCAGTGGCAGAGGCAGTGGACTATACTGGAGCCACATGGGAAGACCCGGGACTCAGACCCTGGTTGATCTGAACACACTGCGTGTGCGGCCACACCAGTGATCCTGGCAGCTGGAAGGCTGGTGGGGAGGCGGGCAGTGCGGCGGGATCTTGTCTGGGGTCCTTCTCTCATAAAATACACTTTAAAAAGTAACAGTAAATAAATCACAACCTAAAGAATCCTCAAAGATAGAAAAATAAAATACGGTGGGTATAGGGACGAGGGCGCGGGACTGAAGTGAGCTCGAGAAGGTCCCCGCGAGGCCCGAGGCTCACCTGAGATGCCATCTTGATCAGCACATCGTCTTCTAGCCACTCTCCAGTGACAGCATTGTACCTGCAGAGACCAGGGCACAGCATCCATAACCGGATCCAGTCCCTCACTGTCAGAAAGTGGGGACCCTCCTGGGCACTCCTCTGTCTTCAGGATCCCACCCGCTCTCTGCCTTGGCCTACAGGACCAGACGCCTGCCTGGGTTAGGATGCGGACGTGCTCCCACCGGGTCCTACCACACTGGCCTCCTTTACTTTCCTCAAACACACTATTCCCCCTCCCTCCTATCCCCCATTTTGCCACTGCCCCAGTGCTCACTGTTGTTTGCTGTTTTGACTTTTATCTGGGCTCCTGACCAGACCGTAGTTCCACAAAAACAGACCTGTGTCTTGCTCATCACAGGGCCAGTGTGTGTGGATGCTTAATAAACACATGCTGGGTGAATGACCGAGAACCCAGTATCCTTGTAACAAGTGGCCTATGGAACAAATGGGCCACCCAGGGAGGGAGTCCAGTGCCCTCCATCTTGCCAGGCACCTGGTGAGGCCCAGCCAGCCCAGCACATGGGTCCTGCTTTCCTGGGCTGGCGATCCCAGGTAGCTGGACCCAGGAAGCAAGGACTGTCCCAGTGCAGGCAGGGCGGGTGGAAGGTCCTCCCTCAGAGTCCAACAAGGAAAGGAATGGGGCTGCCCGGTGGATACCCATGACAGAAAGAAATGAGAAGATTCCGGAATGTGTCCACCTCTCGTCTCCCAGAATCCTCTCTCCCAGAGCAAATCTGCCAGGGCCTGGCTGGGCCTCAAACAGGTTTGCCTGGTGGAAAGCTCCACAGCCTAGTGGGTCCCTATATCTAAAACCTGCCTTGGGGCTGAGGTGTTCTTAGCGCTACTTGGACACCTCCCTTGGCCCATCCCTCAGCTGGGCAGACTCTGCAACACACCCTCCTACTGTGAGAACAGGTTTCTCAGAGCCTGAAACCTCCATGAGAAAAAACAAGCAGAGGCCTGGCAGGAAACTCCCCCTGGGCTCAGAGGGAGGAGGTCTCCTCAGAGCTGCAAACGGGCTCGCACCCAGCCTGTGGCAAGTTCCTGCTCCATAAATATATCTAATAATAGCGATAATGATTATTAGTGCAATATAGACTGAGGTCACGGGAAAATGCTCCCTCACCTCTAACAGGCACTGCAAACCGAGAGGCACCTAGAAGTTGGGCCAGAGGGGAGAGTACAAGGTCAGAGGGTCTTATTTCTCACAACCCCCAGTCTTACAAAGGTCAGAGCTGCTCCCAGTTCAATGAGCACTCGCTGTACACCGTATGCTTAAACAGATCACTTCATTCCACCCTTGCAGCAGCCCTAAGAGACCGCTACCATTACCGTGCCCACTCCCCAGAGGAGAAACAGGCTCAGAGAGGCCAAGTAACCTGCCCAAGAGCCAGAGCACACATCGGTTTAAACCAGAACCCTGCTCATAACTAGCCTGAGTACAATTCACACAAACAGGAAATCTGTCCCAATACAGCATATGCCAAAGCTCCTAAAAAACAAACAGGGATGGGGGCCAGCAGATGGTGTAGCAGTTACGTCTCTGGACTCCCACATAACCGACCGTAGTTTGAGTCCTGGACAGGGTGGCTTGGAACTCACGCTGGCTGAGTGTGCATGCATGTCCAAGATCTTGGGAGGAGAATGAAGAAGAAGGGATTACAATATGGCCATCACTCCCTGCGGGGCTGACTTCTCACTTTCCCTCTTACTGTCTCTGTCTCTGTCTCTCTCTCCAGTGAGCACACGTGCCCTAAAGCAAAAACCTCTACCAGAAAGAAAGAAAGAAAGAAAGAAAGAAAGAAAGAAAGAGAGAGAGAGAGAGAGAAAGAAAGAAAGAAAGAAAGAAAGAAAGAAAGAAAGAAAGAAAGCAAGCAAGAAAGCAAGCAAGAAAGAAAGAAATGAAGGAAGCCTCCAACCTAAAAATCTCACCTGATTCAAGCCACCAACACCCCACCTCCTACAGCAGCAGCCAGGGCAGGTGAAGTCAGCCACTTCCGTTAGAAACAAACACAGTCTGGGTCTGGTCTGAGACCCTGGCGGAGCTCTGGGACACTTGAAGCCAGTCCAGCCCGTGATCCTGCTTTCCCAGGCTGGCCATCGTAGGGGCCTCCCTTTGTGGCCCGGTGTCCTCTCCTGGAACTGTGTGTCACCAGCCAGATCCCAGTGTGCTCTCGTGGGGAAAGGCAGAGTCCACACCTGCTCTGCTGGGACCCCTCTACACTGACGCCGGCTGCAGGCACGGCCCAAGGACCCACTAGGAGGTGGGCCTCTGCAGGGGGGAAGGGGTGCACACAGGCCCCTAAAGCCATTTCCTTGAATGGTGGGAGCAAAAACAAGTTACAGAAAAGTGGAAAAGGGAGGGGACCACCCCAGGTTCTACCAGTGAAATGCATCAATAGGACAAAGCATTGAAAAACTGGGGTGCTGCCTCCACGCTTGGGCTTTCCCTTTGGGAGCAACTGTGGGGTCACACAACAGGATGATGGGAGCCACCAGGTGAAGTAGCCTGGATGCCTGAACTGCCGTAAAGAATCACCAACCCTCAGCCAGCTTCACACGCATGAGAAATACACCCTGCTGCACAGAGCCCTGGGTATTTGTTCCGGCGATGCGGCTCAGCCTCACCTGTCTACCCTGCACCTTGTAGGACACACTGACCCCTTCGTGTGAGATCGCGCGCAGGTCCCGAAGCATGCAGAAACACCCGGGAGTCAGCTACTGTGACTGCGACTCCCTTCGCCTTGAACCCAAAGGCACTCGGGCTCCTGCCTGTGAGCACAGGCGGGACCTGTACCTCCTGGGACTGCTCAAAGCCCCCGACCAGCTGCTGACCTGTGCCGAGTCGCCCGTTCTGTGGTGATGTCCTCGAGGTGGAACTCAGCCCAGGGGTCGGGCATGTGCTTGGCCTTCTCGATGGCGTGTTTCCAGGCTTCCTGAGGAAGGCAAAGGGGAAAGTTAAGCGCAGACCAGAGGCTTCTGGGACAGTGCAGCGTAGCCTCCTCCCACTCTGCTATTCCCTTTGGGGAGGCAGACAGACTCCCATCTGTTATTCTTTCAGAACACAATTCCCAAAAGACTCTACTTGCCATCGGGGGCAAAAACTTCCTGCCTGCAAAAGTGATACCATCCTAACTACACACCACTTGTAATCAAAAAGTTGAGAAGGAAAATCAGATAGCACCCCCCTCAACCTCCCATTTGGATTGGCAAACATGTTAACAAGGTTAAAGCTTCAGCAAGTGCCAGCAGGATATGGAGAAGTGGGTATTCTCACACACCACTGGTGGGTATAAACCTTTTCTGAAAGGCAGTCTGGCAATGTACTGAAATGGGGGGAAAAAGGCATTCCCTTAAATTGCTTTTAAGAAGTATTTTATTTATTTATTTGTTTGTTTATTTTATTTTTCACATGAGCTTTGCTAGAGAAAGAGAGAAAGAGAGAGGGAGAGTGAGAAAGCAAGCTGCCAGGTCTAGGACGTGAACCTCAGTCGGCGATGTGGGAAATTCCAGCACCTTACCCACCACGCCACCTGCTGGCCCCCTTAATTTTTTTTTGGGGGGGTAGAGGTTTTTGCTATAGGGCACGTGTGCTTCCCAGAGAGACAGAGAGAGACAGAGAGACAGAAAGCGAGAAATCACCCCCCAGGGGGGGATGGCCACACCGCAATCCCTTCTCTTCCATTCTCCTCTCGAGATCTTGGGCACACATGCACACATGCCCGGCATGAGTTTTAAGCCACTGGGTCCGGGACACGAACTGTGGTCGACTACGTGGGAGTCCAGCGACATAGCCATTATGCTAACTGCTGGTCCCCAATTTTTTTTAAAGAGAGATTTTTGCTATAGGGTGCGTGTGCTTGCTGGGGAGATAGAGAGACAAAAAGTAAGAAAACTCCACACACACACACCCCTGGGGGATGGTCACAATGCAATCCCTTCTCCTCCATTCTCCTCTCAGGATTCTGGGCATGTATGCACATGTGCCAAGCATTAGTTTCAAGCCACCAGGTCTAGGACTTGAACCGCAGTCAACTATGTGGGAGTCCAGCAATGTAACCATTATGCCACCTGCTGGTCTCCGTCCCGTTAATTCTGACCCTGCAATTCTACATCCAAGAGTCTATCTTACAGAAATATGGACATGATGGGGCTGGCAGGTGGCCTGATGGTTAATGCATGAGACTCTCGCATGGCTGACTGCAGTTTGAAACCTGGACCTGGCAGCTTGCTTTCTCACTTTCCCTCTCTGTCTGGTCAAATTAAAATTAATTAATTAACTTTTTTAAAATTTGAATTTGTTTATGTTCATTCACTGCACATCATTACAGCATACAAAATGAGATTTTCCATCCAGAGTACACTGTATATTGTCTCAATCAAGCACATCAACAAACATGTTACTGTCAACGAATAATTTTCCATTTCTTGTTTCCTGTATGTTTTGCTCGCCACCCCCCCCCATCCTTGATTCCCTATCTCTTACCCTCTGCCATCTCCCACTCTCTTCCCACACTGTCTCTGGTATCTATGTTTACTTTCTATACTGTCCCCCCCCCCAT